TAAAAGAGTTGCCACGGTCATAGTGTCTCGTCAAAGCAGTAGGAACCCTAACTAAGTCAGTAGGCAGACTCCCCGCTTCATGAGATATGCTGAAGTATGTTGGGAAACACGACACAGCTCCTGGCTTTAAGCTCTCTGTGTCACACGAGCATGGTTAAAATGAAGGACAACTTCGAACTAAACACTTCATGCTGTGTTTGCTACATTTTCTTGTCAAAATGGAGATAAAAAGGATTCCTGACTGGCCTTTTATATTTCTAAATAAAATCAGTTCAATGCTAGCATTCTAAGCTTTGTTCAATTACTAATGAGAAAAATGCATGGCCAGTTTTAATGGCACATATGTGTGAATGAGCATCTTCTGTGCTCTGCTATCTGTTTTTTTTCTTTTTTCCTGCCAGTGTCAATTCCATAATTTCTTATTTACTAAAAGTTCTACCATGTAAAACACGAATATTTAGGATTATTTCTCTAGTTGGTACAGGTATATATTAGTACCATGAGCTTTTGCATGTCGATCTTATAGCTGATAAATACTTAGTAGGTAAATTAGTAATTCTAAAATATTATGCACAAACACTTATTTCAGAAATGACAAAAGGCTTGTTTTTCTGAGCTGTCCTTAAGCATCATTTTTTTTCTTTTGCTATTTAGGTTTTTCTAGCCTGTGTTGAACTGTAGACATTGTAGCAATATACACTTGATAAGTTATACAAACTCTTCTGGTATTCTTGGTTGGTTGATGGTTTTCTGGGCTTTGTGACTTTCAAACCAATAGCTGTTGCTTTTTGTTGTATGTCTTTTCTCATTTTTAATGTCTTAGCATTTTGCTGATGATAAAATGCCCAGAAAAAAGAGGCTCCTAATCTCAGAGGTTTCAGCCCATGGCTGTTGGGTTCCCTTGATTTTTAGGCTGTGGCAAGGCAGAGAGTATCATGATGCGGCAGAGGAATAAAGAGAAAGGGTGGGCAGACATGGTCTCAATATCCCCTTTGAGAACATCTACCCACAGACCTAACTACCTCGAGTTAGCACCTGCCCTGAAAGGTTCCAGTGGCTCCCAATAGTATCACATGCTAGCCACCGAGCATTTAACAGGTGGGGTCTGGGGAGTATTTTCTCATGGTCAACACACAGAGCTGTGGTCTAGTAGGGATTGAGACTGTGTCTCAAGCTGGCAACTAATTTGATGATGTGTAAGAGTCTCCCACGTGGTCCTAGTTTTGGGGGCATGAAAGCTGGTAGATTGACGAGTCATGGAGAACAGCTGAAACTTGTTACCACATGACAGGGTCAGAGTCCCCAGCAATGACCCCAGAAAGGCCATCAGTGAATGTGCAGCCTCCGTCACAGTGGTGAGCACAGCGTGTTGGAGACGAGGTGCCAGAACTTAACACGATGACCATCACCAATAGCGGCAGGTATGAAGCAGAGCCCGCCTGAGCCTTGAAAACCCTATGAAATCTGGGTAGTAGAGCCCGAGAAGTAGAATCGCCTAAGTTCTTTGGAGCCCAGAAGATCCCGAGTTAGTTCAAAAAGTTGGATGCTGAATTATTTACACCGTTAGAATTTGGATTTCATTTGATTTATCACTGTGCCCCGGTTCTTCCTTATTTTTTTATGTTTTAGGAACCCACAGACTTGGGACTTTTATAGAGAATTGTGTTATTATTATTATGGAAGCTATACTCATAGGAACTGATGTTAGTGAACAGTCTTGCAATATATCTCTCAAAACTGTTCGTCTTTAATGTACATAATACCAACTCATTATTTACTTGGACATCCTCGATGTAAATTATGGCATGGTCTTTAAAAATGATCCTGGAACTGTGGCTACAGCTCAATTGGTGCAGTGACAGCCTGGCATGCAGAGGGCCTGGTATCAATCACCAGTGCCACATAAACCAGGCATGACGGCACACATACGTAATCCAGCACACTCAGGAAGTAGGGGAAAACCACAAGGTCACGGTCATCCTGGACTACAAAGAATTCTAGGCGGGTCAGGGCTATACAAAACCATTGAACAAAATTTCTTGGTTGTTGAATGTACAAGTCAACGGACATAACTAAAATGTAATATGCCCAGTGATACTCCAATTATTTTATTTATTTTCTCTGTGATTTAAATGGATTGGGTGTTTACTAACTATAAAATCTCATTTAGAAGATGAAAAAAAAAAGAGAATTAGACTTTTAAAAAGTTTTAAAGGCTGTGGGGCTTCTAAAAATTAGAACACGTTCTTTATTAATATTAATGTAAGACCTTCGGAGCAAGCAGAAAAGAAAGTCTATGACTGAAAAGAGATGAGTTGGGGTGTCAAGTTGACAAGGGGTCAACTGTGCTGTTTTCTGTATTGTCAGTTTGACACAAACTAGAAGAGGGAAGCTCAGCTGAGAAAATGCCTCTGCCAGGTTGACCTGGAGGCAAGTCAATGTGGCATTTTCCTGATTAATGATTGGTGGGGGAGGACCCAGCGCGCTGTTGGTGGTCATGCAACTGGGTAGGTGATTCGTGGGAGACATGAGAAGACAGCTTAGCTGAACAGGAGCCTGAAGGCAGCTCAGAAAGGATCGTTCCTCCCTGGCTTCTGATGTATCTCCTACCTCCAGATTCCTGCCCTAACTTTTCTTCCTGACGGATGGACTGCAAACTCTAAGATGAAATAAACCCTGTTCTCCCGAAGACACCTGCTTAATGTATATGAAAATATAGATTAAAATATCTTCAGCAAAATCTCCACTGTTGCTCTGTAGGCCAGCTAGTCCTAAAAGTCCTACCAGTATTGAAACCAGGAGTCCTCCTTAGGCTTGGCCTGGGGTCCGTAAAAGTCTGGGAGAACTCCTCACAGTGCTGAGGGTGGCAGTGGGGAGCTGTGTCTCTGTCTCCCACCACTGACATGCTAATGTCCTGTGAGTGTCATTTTACATTCTTATCATTCTAGCCAAGACTAGAAATAAAATGCATTTTTTTTCTGACACTAACTTAGCAGCCTGTTTTCAGAGGAACTCTTGGTTGTTTCTTTGACGGTTTTAGCAAACATCATGGCTTTGCATTTTGACTCACTCAAAGAATATCAACTGATTAAGATAAATGGGATTATTATTTCTACAGGCTCCAATTCTTTTGTGGATGATATAAGAGAATTGTTTACATAAATAACAATTCAGATTTCGGGGTGTTTGGACCACTGTCTGTCCTGGACAATGTTCAGCCCGTTCCAGAAAACCTGGTGTGCATAACCAGCTTTTGAAGAATGGCCTTTCCCGCAGGCAACTGAAGTATGTTGCCGTCTGTGTCTGCTTTTATCTTAGGATACTGAAGGACTTTTTCTCATGGAGGTTTTCTGAAGCATTTACTTGTGTTTCGGGGCTAATCCACAAGCCCCATTCAGCCCTGACGTAGGCAGAAGCACACACAAACACACACAGGCTAGCATTTGCAAAGTGGATTCTACATTTCAACTAACTGCACCTAAAACTGTCTTCATTTCTTTGGTGGTGAGCTATTCACAACCTGGAGAACTTTTAAGTCCGTTTGAAAGCAAAATTACCTTGCCCCGTTTCTTCCCCATCATCATGGTGGCTTGCTTTTTGCCCTCTCAGACAGCACAGGCTTGCTGCACTGCGGCTGTATTTGTTTACAGCGTTTATTTCCCTTACTTGCTTATTCCAAGTTTACCTGCTTCCTCTCACAGTCCTGCAAGAAAGCAGAGGCTTCTTGAAGATTCTAAATCTCCCAGGACTCTGAGTAAGTGTTTTATGCACCTTTACTAAGAAAGTTTCCACAAACCATGCTTTAAAGATCAAAATTGTTTCCCTCTCTTCTTTTGTATCAGTTTTCATTTTTGCATTATTGACCTCCCCACGTTTCTTTCACTCCTCTGCTCATGTGCCCCCCCCCCCCCCCCGTTCTTTTTTCCACCCCTGCTTTCCTAATTAGGAAGGGGCAAGGCATGGCAAAAGCCTATCAACAGCACATCCATGTGGAACTGGATTTATCTATTTTTAAATCTGCACATTTTATTCTAATAAACAATGGGGTTCTTGATCACACTGTGGTACATGCATACTTATGTCCTGTTCACTCCTTCCCAGACCCTCTCTTGTCTCCCCAACCCCCAACCTCAAACCACCCCTGTGTTTTTGTGTCTTTGGGGTTTGCAGTGCCTTTTGCCTTGGGCTAAGGTTTCCGCAAGTCTCCACACGCGGTTTCCCAAAGTGAGGTCCTGCCCCGACTTCTCAATTATGACTCCTTGAGAAGTTCAGCCAGAAAAGTGGGCTGCTTTTACTTCCGGTGGGAACAAACACAGGGAGGCAGTTTCTTATATAGTCGTTAGCCCTTTACCCACTGGATCCCGAGATTAGACGAAAGATCTGCTTTTAAGAGAGTTCCACCTCTCCACGGGTCACGTACCTGAGCTGGCAGCCGCGCCAAGTATTTCATAAATGAAGGACTAAGTGTTTGTCGAAGTTAGAATCCAGGATCTAAGATCCATTCTTGCATCTTTTTCTTTAAATACCATGACAGAAGTTCAAAAGGGCCAGTCCCCTCCCCCACCCCCTCCCAAAGCTGAGCATGGCCTCTGAATTTAAATATCGACCTTTCGGAGCTGGAACTGCGTCCTGGAAAAGGGGTGCAGGGAAAAGTGTGTTTGAAGAGTCTGTGCGAACGTGTTTGTGAGTGTAGGATGAGCCTGCCTGCACGTGTGTCAGAGTGAATCCCTATGTGTGTGTGTGTGTGTGTGTGTGTGTCCTCACAGGGGAGACTGCCTCAGCTCAGCCAGCGGTGAGAGTGAGAAAGGAAGCTGGGAAGAGAAACGACCGACCTATTAACAAAAGCTCAGTTTTGTCCCTGCTGACCAGCCAGCAGGCAGAAGGGACCGGAGCTGAGGCTCCCCGCCAGGGGGGTCGGGCTCCCTGCGAACAGTCGCAGGCATCCTTGCCACGCCTTCCTTAACCCGCCCTTCTCTGGGGAGTGCAGAAACTTGGCGCTGGGGAAGTAAGTTTCCTGAGCCACGGCAGCGGCTTTGGAGGAGACCAGCAAACCGTGTTGTGTCTGGGAATCTCCAAGCCTCTACCTATTTGTGTTGTGTGGCTTCATGGATTTTCAGTACCAAGAAAGCCTCAGCTTACTTGAAAGACTGGAATTTCAGCTCTCTTCCTTGACTGGGATGTTTTCTCTCCCTCTTCCTCTGAAAACTCTTTAAACTCGATTACCAGGTCAGGACCACCAGCCCTTCACTTCCCAGGGTGTCTAACTCTTGGCTTGGAAAGAAAACCACCACCTGTAAGTACCCGCTTCCGGTGCTTGTCTGCTCTTGACTGAAGGTTCTGTTAGCAGAGTGCCCCAGCGGTGGGCAGCTGGGAGCAGCAGTGAGCGGAAGGTTGAGGGGCAGCTTGCTAAACTTTAATTCTGCTAACTCAGAAGGCGGGCACTTGCGTGTTACCAAACCAAACGCCTCCGCGTGCCTAACTCTTGATTCCACCCTCAGGGTACTCGTAAGGAAAAAAACCGTTTTACATTTTTGTGAGGATTTCCCTGAAGTTAAGAGTTTTTTTTTTTTTTCTTCCCTCAGCTAAAGGAAATGACTAAGAGAAAAGATACAAAATTAACAGGATAGGTAATACCCTCAGGGGCTAAGACTCTAGAGCATGGGTGGTCTCGGGAACTTTTGAATAGCTTGGTTACATTTGGATATGTTGTTTCAAAGTATGAGTCTTGTTTTGTAGGGATGAAAGGCAGTTCGAGGAGGCAAGGAAATCATTGTTCTGAAGGGTGACCGGGGTTTAGGCTTCCAGCAGCTCATGAGAATGAGATTTGGTTCAGAGACTTCAGGGCTGGAGTAAGTAACTAATTTCTGGGAGTTTTCATCCCTGTCACAGACATCACCTTTAAGGCATTTAACTTTAGTTTCTGGGTTTTGCTTTGTTCTGTTTACTGTGGCATTCAGTCTTGATGAGTGATGTGGCTTTGAAAGGAGTTTCAAGGACTAGTTCGTGTTTATAGGTGGGGATGTTGCTGGGGAGATTAACCCCTTCTGGGCTGCTTTGCAGACCCAAGGAAGAACTGGGCGCTCCTTAGGTGTCTGCTCTGCAAAATCATGGCCCTCCCTTGCTCTTCCGAAGCTGGTGAAGTTTCATGCTGGCATCTTGTGCCTGTCACCTTAGTAAAATGTCTTTGGTGTAACTTCTAGCTGAATCTGCCCTTTCCGTTCTGAATTCTCAAAACTCAGTATAGATAAGAATCTAAGATGGTGGGTCGTACATCTGTAATCCCTGCACCAGGGAGGCTACAGCAGAAGGATCACAAGTTAAAGGCCAACTTGGGCAGCTTAGCAAGACTGGGGAGAGAGAGGAAAGAGAGGAGAGAGAGAGAGAGAGAGAGAGAGAGAGAGAGAGAGAGAGAGAGAGAGAGAGAGCCAGGAGTCAGTCCCCTTTGGACTTGGTGAAAAATAGTTTATTTACCCAGTGTTGGGACAGGAATCTTCCCAGGTCGATCTGATGCAGGTGATACTGCCTTTGAGTAAACACTGCCGTACACTGTTCTGGGCAGTTAAATTCTTTAAAGTCATGTTTTTAGTTAATATCAAACTCCGTGTCTGAGTAATAAGCCTGAGCTTCAGTTGATGCTAACCAGGACTCATGTGGAACATAAATTTGCCTTCTTGACTGCCACACCAGGGCTTTCTAGCCCCTGTCCTCCCCTGCTGTCCCTGCGATCTGCCTTCCCGTGGCTGCGAGTGACAGTGATTTGTGTGCAGGTACCGGGATGGCATGTTGCCAGATGCTGGTCTGCACAGCCAGCTTGCCCCTCGGGGCTTAGCAAGGCTGGTCTTGGACACTTGATCTCTGGGGGTGTTATTCGCTGTCTGGGGATGCTGCAATGCTGGGGCTGGGCTGGAGTGAGTTGGGCCGAATGAAGCCGGATTTCTTGGAAGAGCGCAGGATCCTATTCCTAGAAACTAAGTATGTCTCAGGCCAACCCTCGGTGACTGAGAGGAAGTGGCTCTTCATGCTGCAGTCCTCATGTGACAACAGACGAGAGCTAGAAGAGCCTGTAACCCAGCCTCAAGTTTGATGGCATTCAGTAGACAGCAACCAGGGTGTGCTTATCAAGGCCCGGTTCCTGCTCTGTCCTCCTCCAGGCTCAGTGCTAGTGTCTAAGGATTCCAAAATGACCAATAGAGACGGCATGGGCAGGGTCCTGGTCCTCACTGTGTTTCCAGTCTCCTGTTGGCAGGAGTCTTAGGCTGGCACCTTCATGTTCTAACCGCCCCTTCCTCTGTTAGATCCACTGAGTTTCCTCCTTTCTCTTCCATGCTGGGGTCAAAGGCCAACCTTGCTTACAAGCTGCACACCAGCCCCAAGTTTGGGTATGATTCTAACATTGACTGACTCTGTCTTCTAAATGCAGACATAAAGTGTGAAATCTCATAAGCATTTGTTTGCGGGGTAGGCCCAAGGGTTTATTTTACCATTTTTTCTTTAAAAAAAAAAATCTTAATTGCATCTTCCAGATTTTACTCTCACAAGGGCCGGGATCACTAGTGTCTTCTTATTGGAGCGAACACCCACCCCTCACAAGGGGATCAAGTAGCTCCCTGGGAAGGCAGTCTCTCTGGGCCAGGTCACCCAGGAGGTCTTACCCTCTTATCTTGTCTGAATCTGATGTAGCTCACTCTTTGGAGAGCTGGGTGGTCTGAACAGGCCTTGTGGCTTCCATGGTGCACAGCTTGCAACCTGACCCCTCCACTCAGGAGGCTCCTGTGCATCTTGGGGAGAGGCTCCCACAGAAGGTGCTGGGAAAACAAAAGGCAAACAAAGCCCCCCCCCCCCCCAGATGGAATCTTGGTTGTCTGACTGCCATGTAGCTCCTTTTACCTCCGTGACAACAGCGCTATTTCAAAGGACTTGAAAACTTGGCCATCGAGATAGGGGAGTGCCATGTGATTTCCACGTAGCCTCCAGCAGCCTGAGACACTCAGTGTCTAGTAGGTTGACTGCAGGCTGCGGGCTGGGATCTGGCAAAGTAAGTGCACACTTAACATAGTGTTCCTGCCCCTCAGTGGAAAGTTTTCGCAGAAGGCAAACACAGTTGGCTGTTTTGTTTGTTTGTTTGTTTGTTTGTTTTCCTTTAGATTTGTCTATTTTCATAGGGGTGGTGATATTTGGGAATGTGTATTAAAAGATCCTCAGAAACGCTCCCTTCGGGCATCATTGGAAGGCTGCTCAGGTCGCAAGTCACTCTGCACTCCCAACTTTATTTTCCTGTCTGGCCCCTAGAGACAGGGAGTAGATAAACATTCCAGGACTGACACCAGGCTTGCACCCTGGGACTCAACTCTGCTTTCTATCAAACGCTATCAGCGGCCCAGTGGTTGGTTACGGATGCTCTGTCGTCTTCCCTTAAGGAATCACACACACACACACACACACACACACACACACACACACACACACACCCCTCTGTGTCCTGAGGCCCCTGCCCTGCCACCTCATCCCAGGGTCTGCCTTCCTCCTTAGCACAATTCTTCTTTTGTTAACAAGAGATGGGTGGCACCTGCAAAGAGAGAGACTTCAGAAGGTGCAGAAATCCCCGGGGGAAGTTTGCCCTAAATGTGGAAATGCTGTTGAAAATTCCCTATCAGACCCCAGAAGCCTGGCTCATCCTTCCTGTGAGCGCCCTGGGAGGACCCTCTTCCTGGACAATGTCATGCTTTGATTCTGTCTTATGTGGGTATCCCGCTCTGTGACAACATGGTTGATGTTTCTGTTCCAGTCTATAAACCGAGACATAACACTGATGGCACAGCCAGCGGACATGTTACGAATAAGTCCCAACCCAGGCTGCCGTGTCCCTGGACCCGAAACTTCAATCAGGCCAGCCAGCTACTGTCTGGAGAGTGAAACAGAGGGCATGAATACTTACCTTGCTGGATAAGTTTGCATGTGGTCTTTGCAGTGATGAATCTTATTTGAGAGAGGGCTCGTACAGGTGCGAAGACTGGAGAGGAGCAAAAATGTGGCGAATTGCGTAATATACTGGAAATGAAAAGAGAAATAGATGGTGTGGTTTTCTTCCAGAGCCCTCTGACTGGGTGGGGCAGACCCTAGCCCGCCACTGCCCTCTGACTGGGTGGAGCAGTTGCTAGCCTGCCACTGCCCTGGATTCTATCTCAGAAGTGACTGGTATCAAAGACTAAAGGCATTGGGGCAGTCATTTCATCTTTCTGACTCTTCTGCCTCCTGAGCTGGAGAAGTCGTTTGAGATAAGTGTGAAAGGAGATGGAGCATCTTCTTACTTTGCATTTGGCTTTATTGTAAAAGCTGCTTCAGTTTCAGGGAGAAACGTTTGAGAATCTGAAACTCTTGGGTTGTGGCATCGTAAGTCTGACTTGTCTGCAAATGGAAAGACAGAGCCAATTCCGCACACAGAGCATGGCCCTCTCCTCCCCGACTGACACTTTTTCTCCAGCCCTGATATTCCCCTGGGGTCAGTTATTCAGGTGATAGACATTGTAGAGTTTCTCTAGACAGCACCCAGCCCAAATCTGGAGAAATTTGAGTGAGCAGAAGCTTGTGACCTTTATCTTGAAGCCGCTTCCAGGCCAGGGGACAAGACAGAAAACTTTAGTTTTAAAAACCTAGTGATGAAATGCCTGCTGTGGCCCAGCGCTGCTGGATTCTGTGGGAGCAGAGAGTGAGATCCAGAAGGAATCCATAGGATTTGGCCAGGTGAGCCAGGCAGTGGGAAGACAGGCTGCCCGGAGCAGGAGGCTCTGAGCAGAGATGGTAATGTTTAAGGAAGGGCAGAAGTCACACTTGACCAGCAGGCCAGTGGCCAGGAGATGGTGGTAATAGACAAGCCTGGAGAGGAGGGCAGGGGGAGTCAATCTCACACCCAGAAGGTAATCCAGAAAGTGCACAATCCCCACTCCTTCCCTCTGACAGGGGGCTGAGCCCTTCTCATCGCTGGCTGGAAATAAGTGGAACCATTCCCCAATTCTCTCTGGTTCTCTGTCCTACAGCCGTGGTGAGGTTGCCTTCCTCAAATAATTACTTCCAAAACAGGTCTGCTTTTTCTCATACATGTGCAGTTAATTTTGAAGATATATAGAGTTACACATTTTTGCTTATTGAATGCCCTGGCTAGGGTCCACCATTCCAACCTCAGTTATCAAGGCTGTGGATCTAGAATATGTCCTCAGTGACAGCAGTCAGCCGCTAGGATTTGTGCTGTCTGTGATTCGGGTAGGTTTGTCTTCTACAGCTTTGTTTGGGGACTTA